TAATCCCCCTGTTCAGCTATTATACACATGTGAAAATAACAGATTTTTCTTATGGGACACAGCTCTGGGGGTTGTGTGTGAGGCTGCCCTTGATTCCTTTTCTCCCACCCTCACATTCTAGGGTACTTGGGAGAGAAAGCGATGGAACTTGGTGAGGAGGGAATGTGGGTCATCATGGGCCAGAAGGGGTCCCTGTGCATCTGGCTTTCCTATGAGTCTACTATGCGCATCCTCAGCTCCGCCATGACTCTCAAGACATGATCTTGTTGTCTTCACTTTGCATTCCTTGCTTGCATTTCTGTCCTTATGCTTCGCTCACATCTCCTGCAGCATTGTTTTCCTCTACTCACTTAATAGTACCCTGTCCAAGCGTGCACATTGTATTTGCTCGTTGAACATATCATCCCGTCTATGTTTTTGCCTTTGGATGTGTATTAGCCAAACAGCTGGAGGAGTTGGACCTGGGGGAGTATACAGCAGGGTTATTGTTGCATCCTTTGTAATGAAAAGTGAAGGGCAGACTTTACAGGTGATACATTGTGGAGCGTGGAACCTGATCTCTTAGCATAAAGGAAGGTCTGTCCAAGACAATAGGCATGTGCTATATACAAGGCCACAGTTATTCTTGTAAGTGTCCACTATGCAGGAGGTATACCACAGAGATCTTAAGGGAGTAGCTGGACTCGGTTTGGTGGCAGGCATGGTAAGGGGGACATGCTGGGACTCACTCTTTTGCTTCTGCTTTGAAATTATGTGTGACAGTTCTTGGAAATAGCAGATCTCACAGTTAGGCAAGTGTTGTTGTTTGCAAAGGGGAGCCGGACTGAGCCATTACGGTGCCCCGGGCAGATAGTTTAATTGCGCCCCGGGTTGAGGGAGGGTGCATGAGCGGCCCCTCCCGGGATGTGGGGTAGGGCGCGCGGAGCTGGTGGCGGCAGGATGCACGTGCCCGGCCTGGCTCAGCCCAGCTACCGCTGCTGGCGTGCAGCCTGGGGCCGCCCAAGGCAGGCCGAGCCTGGCCGTGCAGGGCCCCGTGGCCACGGGGGGAAGGGCGCTGTTGGCCGGCACTGCAGGGGTTAATGCGGTCCCCGCCCCAGGCGGTTGCTGCAGGGTGGCCGCTGGGAGCAGCTGCAGCCTGAGATCCGGGAGCCAGGTGCCCCCCAGAGGTTGGCACCCCGGGCAGCTGTCTGGGTAGCCCATGCCTTAATCCGGCCCTGGCCACAGAAGTCTGGCAGCAGTGTAGGTTAGGGGCTTCTGCAGTGACCATGTGTTCAGCACCTCCCATTTGCCAGGAGAGTGCAACATTCCATTCCCACAGGAGCCTGTGGGTGAGAGGGAAAAGGGTCCAGGCATAGCAGAAGGTTAGAGGCTCACTTAGATACCAAGGAGCCTGCAGGCGGGAGGGATCTGGGTGTAACAGCAGGGCACGGGCTCATGTGATGACCTTGTGTTTAGTGCCACCCCATTTGCCAGTTTTGTGCAGGAACAGAGCCAAAGTTGTTCTTCAAGTGCTCGCTGATGTTAATTCCATCCATGGAGTTGTGTGTGCTCTCCATATACTTACTATGCATTACATTATAACTCAGCAGGCGTGAGACAACTGGGTTTAACACAGGTCTCTACAATCCTTGCATCCATAAACTCCTACCTGCCTCCATTGGGACTGCTTGGAGTCATCTAATATGGAATAGACATGAGCAAGCACTCGAAGAAGAAAAGACACCAACTGTTTTTAGCTGGTGTTCTTCAAGATGTTTTGCTCATGTCCATTCCATATACTGCTCTCCATTCCTGTGGTGGGAGTTTCTAGCATGTAGGAACTTAGGGTGAGGGGAGCAGGTAGCACCCTTTATACTATTCCATGTGGGTGCCACTTCAGATGGCACTAGAGCTGGGTCCCCTATGGATTCTGCTGAGAAGGAAACTTCCAGCACCAGTGCATGTGGCAAGCAAACACACCTAATATGGAATGGACATAAGCAACACATTTTGAAGAACATCAGTTACAAAACAGGTAACTGCCTTTTAGAGCTGTAGATGTGTACAAAAAGTTATAAGAACCATGTTTTATAAATATATGGTTTTTTAGATGGTGTTATGTTGCACAACCCACTCATGATTATACCACTATTCTTGTGTTTATTGCACTCCCTGTGATTTAAGGCCAAATGTCTACATCCAAAATTCTTAAATGCCATCAATTAAGAGGTGTGATAACTTCTTGGATTGTTGGACTGAAACATCTGTCTCTGAAATTTGTGACGTGAAAACTTGGTCATTTCACACCTTCATCTGTCATTAATAATGGTACCAGCCTTTGCTGACATTTGTTGATCACTATGTTCACCATCCACAGCTGTAAGGTACCTCAACTCCTGTTAGCACATTGGTGGCAAAATCTGAAGTTTATAGTTTCTGTTCCTGAATAGGATGGGTAAAAGACATGATAGAAAAAAGGAAAATACCCTGTTTAATATCCCAAATCAGTAATAGAATATGAATGGATTTAAACTGTTGGAAACCAAAATGTAGACACCATGTAGATTCAAGCAGGAGGGTTTATTACGCATAGTGCTGGCAAAGTACCACCTTGCCACTTGGGCTCAGCAAGCATTGCTAAGCAATTGATTACAATAGATTATATAGGGAGCCAATGGGCGGAGAGAAGCGACGGGATGGGAGTTCCTGAGCCCTTGGATAGGTTCTGACAGCAAAACATAATGAGCCCAATAAGCCAAGAGTCTAAGAGTCTAAGAGATTACATAGTAGCTCCGCCTATAGCTCAGGTTAACATACTTGCTAAAACACAAGTATTACTCCTCCCCCACAATGCATATGCTACATTTCAGTTGGAAGCCATAGGAGTGGTGACAGTGCTTTCCTGACAGGTGCAGGGTACAGTTCATAGATGTTTGGGGTATAAAGCAAAAAGACAATATCAGGAATACAGCAAAGCAATTGTTATAACATCATTCTGGTGTATTTGTGAGCCTGCATTGTTCGGGAGGAAGGGTGTCGTCTCATAGTGATGTGCTAGGCCTTTCCCTGAATCTGTGGTTGGCCTTGGGAAGGCAGCTGTTGTCTCTTTCCCAGACTATGAGGCCCCTCTCAGGCTCTTGGCCTTGTATGTGTGTGTGAAACTCATGGTGTTCAGTTATGGCTTCCCATAATTATGACCTTGTGTTATGCTTCTTTCATTTGGGATAAACAGGCGGGGTTGTTTTCTGTATTTTTCCTAGGGTCCGTTACCTGCTGCTGGCTAAGCCTCATGCCTCTGCTCAGGCTGGGCAGCGTGGGCCTATGTGGAAAAGCTTAACCAGAGACCATGGTTCAGAATCTTACCCACATATTAATGGGGTGTTTGCTATTTTATCCCTACATAAATCATTTATTTAAATTGGGGTTTGAGGTAAGTTAGGAATGCTGCCTGGGGCCATTGTGTGTGCTAGTTTTCTAGTTCCTGTGTATATAGAGAAATTCAACTGAATTGATTTTGTAGCCATTTTCTTACATTGGTTTTAGTTTGTAGTGAGGCATACTTATAAAACCCTTAGATAAATGGATTAAAATTAAATGTTGCAAAGATGATGAAAAAACTAAATGAAAGTTTGTTTGATAACTTTGTTTTACATATAAAACCTTAGGCTTTTTATTTAGCAAGATCATCAATATTATTTATTAAAAGCTAGCATGAGCAATCAAGGGGAAAATGATGGGAATTGCATAGGGGTGGGAGTGGGAAGGAAACAAATAATGTAACTGTGGTATTAAGTAGGTGCATGCATGGCCTTTCCACCTGCAAAAATTCATAGGGTTGCCAGAGTGAAAACTATATCAATGGGTGCACTCCTGTTCTCTGAAGTGCTTGAAATGTGCCTTCTGTAGCATAGTTTCTCCTGGAGCTTCTTTAGAGTCAGCATATTTCCTGTTTCATTCCTCTATTCAGATTTGTGAATACATTCCACAATCTAGCATTGAGGTTTCAGAACCACTTATGCCCATCACAGATTTCTGTTCTTGTTTTCTTAATTTTTGCAATAATAGAAAATTGATATGAACTAATTTTATAGCTCTTGCCAGCTGTTGTACAATACCTAGCATTTGTATTTTTTCCACTTAAAGGATAAGTCAAAGACCTGATTGTTCAGATTATGTAAAAAGAAGGTTATTACAGTATATTACATTACCTGCTTCTCCTATGGGTGTGGAAAACCCTGAATACAGTTGCATGTGTGATTCTTCTGCTTAGTTGGTGGACTGGAAGCTCACACAAAGACTTTTCAACTCACTGGATTAAAGGGTCTTGGGGCTGATGGAGATGCAGAACTAGAGGAGCTATAGAGCAATGGATTTGTTGGCCAGAGTGCTGAACAGAGGGGAGAGAATCAGCAAAGTCCAGAGGAGAGCCTCATTCCTGTGGAATTTCCCAGGGAACACCTGTTACTTTGGCTGTGGGATGGATATAGGATGGGGCATAAGGAATATTTGCATGTCCTAATCAGGAATAATATTAAACTTTACTAGAATGATAATTGCGTAGTTCCCTCGTATAATTAGGAAACACTCCCTCTTCTTGTAGGTTTCTGTGGTAGATGGTGGAGCTGCTTCCTGAAGATGTGCAGTGGTTTTTAGACCAGAAGTCTATTGCTGGAATATTGTATTTAAAAATGCTTAGAAATGTTAATAGACTAAATCTATAAAAATTAGAAATGCAAAAGATCTTTTTACTTTACTTGGCTGTAATATTAATAATTCCTTTGTGTCGCAAAAGTAAATTTGATGTTAAAAATTAGTGTGAACCTTTCAAAGCTCAATTTAGAGCGATTGGCAATGCAGTCTGATAGACCAGTTTTTCAGGAGCATATTGTGATAATTGTTCTTTTCTCTATCGCTCGCATGGATAGCAGGTTTAGACTTTGCTTAAATATTAATGCTGTCATTTTTGTTGTTTTCTACCTTTTCATGAGAGTCTTTAAACAATATTTTTTTCTGTTTTACAGACAGTATGAAACAGTAGTTCCACTTGAAGATTCTGTTGTGACTGAAGTCACAGCAACAGTTCAGGAATGGGCTGTACTCTGGAAACAGCTGTATGTGGTAAGTACAGCGAGAATACTGTTCTTTATTCCATGTGTAGAAATAAGTGTTAGATGAAGTTAAGAAATGATTGTTGTATGTGTGACATCTTGGGAACCTGTAGAATAATATTATTATTCTGGGAATGGCTTTTACAGGTAAGTAAGCATCTGTGGCTGCTATTGACTACACCTGAAATTGTTGATGTTCTCAGATTTTTTGAAAATCAAGCTTTAGATGTCTGAAATTTTCATTGTCAAATGCTGCTGATTTTTATTGATTAATCTTTCAGTATTTTAAAATATTCTTATGGTATCTGTGAGTAGCTTTGTTTACTAACATAGGGTATGTCTACACTACCCCGCTAGTTCGAACTAGGAGGGTAATGTAGGCATACCGCACTTGCAAATGAAGCCCGGGATTTGAATTTCCCGGGCTTCATTTGCATAAACTGGGCGCCGCCATTTTTAAAACCCTGCTCGTTCGAACCCCGGGCCGCGCGGCTACACGCGGCACGAACTAGGTAGTTCGGACTAGGCTTCCTAGACTGAACTACCGTTACTCCTCGTGGAATGAGGAGTACCGGTAGTTCGAACTAGGAGGGTAATGTAGGCATACCGCACTTGCAAATGAAGCCCGGGATTTGAATTTCCCGGGCTTCATTTGCATAAACTGGGCGCCGCCATTTTTAAAACCCTGCTCGTTCGAACCCCGGGCCGCGCGGCTACACGCGGCACGAACTAGGTAGTTCGGACTAGGCTTCCTAGTTCGAACTAGCGGGGTAGTGTAGACTTACCCTACATGAGTACACATTCACATCCCTAATCATTATCCTCTAAAATAAACTTGCAACCCCCCTGCAGCTTCATTTTAGGTCAGAACCCCCAATTTGAAAATATTGATCTTCCTTTTTAAAATCTGTATATAGGGTAAAAGTACAGAAAAGACCAGAATTCATGGTCCATGAATTTTGTAGGTCCCTAGTCATGAGACAGAGCCTGTGCTGCATTTTTAATACCTCTGTTGAAGCATGTGCATTGGTGTTTCACTGGTTTTGTTACTTGTGCTAGCTGGATTAAATCTACATCCAGTAGGCTATCCCATACAAAGCTTTTGCTGTGAAAACATATCCCAAGTATGAGGAAAAATGGGTGTATCAATGATCTGTGTGATAACTATTAGCAGCTTTTTGGTTGAAAATATAGATCATTGCACTTATAGATATGCAAAGCAAAACGTAGTATTTCTCAAACTCTCTGAATAAGCTTTGCATTTTTATGACAGTGTTCTTTACACTGATTTTGATTCGAAAGGCCAAGTGCATTTTAATTTAAGGTGTCCTTAAACAATTAGGATGCATGGTAAGATTTAAATCTGTCTTCTAGATTTGAGAGATAGACAGTAGTAATAAAGCTGTGATCTCCCACCCATGTAAAATTGTCTGAAGCCCTAGCTACGTGTACTGGGAGATCGGTGTTGTGGAGATCAATCCGCTGGAGGTTGATTTCATGGGTCTAATAAAGACCTGCTAAATTGACCAGTGATCACACACTGATCAACTCTGATACCTCACCGTATCAAAAAGTTTAAGGAGAATCAGGAGAATTTTCCCCATCAACCCCCATGCAGTCTAGATGCTGCGGTAACTCTATATAAGGTACATTAACTCCAGCTGTTCATGTAGCTGGAGTTGTGTACCTTAGTTCGAAAATTGCCTCCTAGTGTCAACCTGGCCTCAGTCAAAGTTACTTATCTTAAAATATCTATCTATCTATCTATCTATCTATCTATCTATCTATTTTGTAGGGGAAAATATTATTTTGTCATCAGTGAAATTTTCATAGAAAATCTAAGTGGCAACTTTGTTTAAAGAACTCATAATTCATATTATATCTGTACTTTTTTGTTTTCTTTGGGGAAGAGGATTTTTTGTTAAATCAACACCATACTGAAATGTTTGAAGTACCGTATGGTAAATTTTCTTTTGAAATATAGTATTTTTATTATTGTGAGAAGCTTCAGTGGATATTGCAATTTAAGAAAACTCACTCACCTCTTTAAAATGGCGTGTGATTTAACAATAGTGTTTGAAGAACATAATTTAATGTCCCAGGGCTTTTAATAGAAATATCATTTCCTTTCACAAAATATTTCCCTGATATTCTTTTCCCCTGATATTATAAACCTTGGCTGTGAATCCTGAAAAGTACTTAGTGCACTAATATGCTTCCCTTCATAAAGGAGCCCCCCTCTGTGTCTGTTTGAACTCATAGCTTCTGACTGCAGCCCTATTAACTTACTAAGGAGCCCATACGTCTAGCCATATTGCTAACAACAGACAAATGTAAACATCTAGAGGAACACTTTTAAAATTTGTGAAAGCAGTTATTAAACTCCATCAAAATGTATGGAATTAGGGAAATTTTCTACCTGTTTTCCAAAATATTAACTATTCCATTCTTTCCCTGTCACCCTTTTCCATACACAATGTTGCCCCTGTTACAGCGAAACAATGCTGCAGTGAAGTCATGGTGGACATGAAACATTTTTCTAACACTTTGTTTTGACAGAATAAAAGGATTTTTAGTTTGGTACATGTACATGTAGTTTGGTTTTTATTTTGGATTTTCAAAGGGTTTTTTAATAAAATATTTTTAGTTCATCTTGAAAGGAATTATCAACTAGATAAATGAAAACAATAAATGTACATTAGAAAGATGAACTGCTAATAGTCCTAATCTGTTAAATCAATTTTCTTTGTACAAAATGAAACCATTTTTTTCTTCCTCTGAGTGGTGGTCCATATGTGGATGTGCTCCACGTCCTTGGAGAATTTTTGCAAACAGTATCTGGTCGATTTATGCATCCTTGCTTTCCTGTCATTTCCAAATGAAGGCATGACATGCAGAGAGGCCCTACAGTTCCTTCTTACCATTGCATGTCCTAGCTTAGAACCTACAGTATTCAGAGCTTTCCTTCAGTTTCTGTAATCTGTAATTATTTTAAAAAATTGCCTCATTGATTTATGTATGTTGTTATTTATTTATAATGAGTAAGTTTGAAATGTTTTTATAACCTATTTTTCAAATTAGTTAAATGCCCTGCCTTGGAGACTGCCCTCTGCCCCAATTATGGGTATTGGACTGGGTCCAGAAATTGTGTGCCCTGCTCCCATTCCTTCTGGATCAATGATTCTCATCAGCACTGTTTATACTGTTTCAGAGAGGCACAGATTGTGGCTAAGTGAAGTATATACAATTTTTCTCCCTAGCTAGAGATGAGAAAACTGTGACTTAAAAACACCTCATGAAGAAGGCCATAGAGCTGTAGTCAGATCCAAGAACTCTCCCTCACCCCCACAGGACATGTTGGCCTGAACTGACATGGAGCATGTCTCTTGCAATGAGCTTCTACTCCATTTCAGTGGAATACATAAGTTCACTGCCTTCCCAAGCGTAAGAGTAGGTCCCTCCCTAAGTCTGCTTTGAAGATGTCTAATACAGACACACTAAGTACCTGCATCATGACTTTAAGGGCTCTACCAGTAACGGATTCCCTGTACCAGACACATCCACTCCACTGGAACCATCCAAGTAAAAAAGACAGAATCTGTTGTCTTTGGCATGATCAGAGCTTCTATCACTGATGATATTGTCGCTGTCTTAACACTCCGGTCACATAATGCTTTCCTCCTCCAATACATTTCATATGAGTGGATTGGATCCCTTGCAATTGAGGAGCTTTAGATTCCACCATCATTGAGCCCTTCTCTCACTAGGGAGATTGAGATTCCAGCAGGAGATGCTAACTTTGACAGAATCCTATCTTCTCTTCTATCTGGCGGCTATGCCTTTCCTTTGTGGGAACTGTTGTTACCATCATTGGATCTGGACCCTTTTTTCTCTTACTCAGAATCAGAACCTCCGAAGAGCCTGTAGTGGACTGGCCTTCCATGCATCAGGAACCTCTCATTGATCCCTGCTAGAATTCAGTAGTGAACCCCCTGCCAGGACTCAGTGGGTAGGACTGGAAATACAGAGAGGCAAGTCTGAAAGCTCAGCTGGCCTACAGCCACAAGGCCCTGGGCTGCATGCTTCCTGCTTGCTCCCAACCTGGGAGACTGCTGCCTGCCCCTGAGGAACTGAGGTCTGGCCAGAGCCAGCTGAGCTGTATGACAACCCAACTCCAGAAGAATTGCAAGAATTTCCACAGGTCTTCTACCGAGATGATCTGGGCAACCTCTACAGGATGAGGAACAACCTGAGGAGGAGGTAGGAATGGCCACTGCCACTGTTAGAGCCCAAGGCTGGAGCGCAGTAGACTGGTTGGGCCAATGCCACTCCTACCATCCTGACAGGTGCAGCTGACCCTAGACTGGCTGCATCAAGACCTGAGCATAGATCACTGTATTGTGGTCAGGAATCCAGATGCTCCAGTAGCAAATCCCACTGCCACTGTTAGAGCCCTGGGCTGGAGCGCAGTAGACTGGGTGGGCCAATGCCACTCCTACCATCCTGATTCTGAGGTGAGAGTCTCGCCCTATCATGACCAAGGAGCCAGTGCTTTCCAGCTCCTTGCTGCTCAACCATAAACACAGGCCTGAGCCACAGACCTTTGTTATCCCACCCTGACTGAAGGCTGTGTTTGCTGCTTGGCCTTAAACAGGCCTGACTTGTAGACTCATTGCCCCACCCTGCCTGAGAGGCTGGACTACATAACTTCCTTTGCTGCTCAGTCCTGAAGACATTTGCTTATCAGATAGTCGACTAGTTGACTAGTTGTTTACATCCCTAGTTACAGCATACCCGAGGAAAAAAAGTTATATTCCCTTATCTGTATGACTGTCTTCTCAAAGTGCACTCCAAAGCTGATTCTCATCACTCCCTGTTAGTCACCAGACACATATTCCAACACCTGGGCCTGCAAACAAACAAAGCCAAATCAACTTTGATTCCTACTCAAAAAATTCAATTTATAGGGGCTTACCTCAACCCACAAATGCTTTTGCTTCCCTTCCCACA